CCTCCCACCCCCAGGCCCAGCCTCCGTCCCATCCCCTTCCCCAGTGTTGGGGTGTGGGGAAGGGTGGGTTCAGTGTGGGCACCAGGCCTGGGAGCAGGCTGGGCCCCACGGGGCGGCATCAAGGATTGTTGGGGTAGCTGGTGCCAGCCCCACCCAGGCACCCCGCAGCTCCTGCCTGAGAGCTCGGGTCCCCTCGGCCGCAGGTGAGCTTGGCCTACGCCTACGAGACCAAGGATGCACTGTGCCTGGTGCTGACGTTGATGAACGGAGGCGACCTCAAATTCCACATCTACCACATGGGCCAGGCCGGCTTCCCGGAAGCGCGGGCCATCTTCTATGCCGCAGAGATCTGCTGTGGCCTGGAGGACTTACATCGGGAGCGCATTGTGTATAGGTGGGGCACCGCGGCTGGGCGTGGAGCATGGTGCAGAGGGACACCAGTGTGCTGGAGCAGCAGCCAGGCCAGGAGCTGGCACGTGCTGGGCGCTCTGCACGGGGCCCTGGCGATTCAAGTGGCTCGGGTCTAGGCTTGGGCGTCTGGCCGCCCCACATAGGAATCCCAGCCTTATCACCGTCTCTGTGTGACCGTGGCCCAGGCAGCTCCCTGTGCCAACACTGCATTCTTTCCTGGGAAGTAGAGCTGAACTTCCTACCTCCCAGGTGGTTGGAGGGGTCCCATGAGATGAGGGGCTGGAGTGCCTGGCTCAGAGCTGGCCCACAGGGCTTGGACGGAGAGCCTGGCTGTGGCTGCGATTTGGCTTGCCTTCATTTGCGCCTCGTAGCAGCCCCCGAGGGGAGGGATGAGTAGCCCCATTTGACAGAGGAAAGGTGGAATCTGCTGCCAAAGGGAAAAGCTGTTCGATACCAGGGTGAGCAGGGAGCAGCCTTGTGCTGGCCCAGAGTACTGAGCATCTTGGCTTGTAATTCCTTGGTGAGCTACCCTGGGCCGGGCTGCTGCCGGAAGGTCAGGGGTGGTGGGGGCACCCTGTTGGCAGATGGGTCCCCACCCCCACTCCCAGGAGTGAGTGAGCTAGGAGGGCTGGCCCTATTTGGCTTCCTGGCAAGCCGAGCCGCATCTGAATATGCCCTTCTCGCCCCACAGGGACCTGAAGCCAGAGAACATACTGCTGGATGACCACGGTGGGTGGGGAGACCCAGGTGGGAGGGGGGTGTGACTTGGGGGTATGACTTGGAGGCATGGCCTGGTAATGGCCGGCCCCCATTTCCTCCCCTTCATCAGGCCACATCCGCATCTCCGACCTGGGGCTGGCTGTGCACGTGCCTGAGGGCCAGACCATCAAGGGCCGCGTGGGCACCGTGGGCTACATGGGTGAGTCCCCTCCTACCTTGGCCTACTGGCCTCCTGGGCCTCCCTCTATCCTGAGCCAGCAGCACCCACTGCTGCTTGGGAGCCTAATCTCCTGTGCCCGTTGAAAGGGTCTCTTTTGCCGGGCTCGGTGGCTCAGCCTGTAATCCCATGCTTTGGGAGGCTGAGGTGAATGGATTGCCTGAGCCCGTGGGTTCGAGACCTGCCCAGGCAACTTGGCAAGACCTCATCTCTATAATAAATCAAAAAATTAGCCGGGCATGGTAGCGCACGCCTGTAGTTCCAGCTACTTGGAAGGCTGAGGCAGAAGGATCGCCAGAGCCCAGCAGGTCGAGGCTGCGGTGGCCAGGAGCGGCCACTGCACTCCAGTCTGGGCGACAGAGTGAGACTCCAACTCAAAAAAAAAGAAAGGGTCTTTTTTATAGAGCAGGAGACAAAGCCAGGGTTCCACACAGTCGTAATCAGCATCATTCGTTCATGAAATGCATTCTAAGCATTCACTGTTGGCTGGGCCTGCCGGTGGGGCTCAACCCTTGTCCGTGGCCCTAGCCCTGGTGTCCCCTAAACTTTCCATGCTCAGAGTGGGCGTGCCACCTTGGAGGGGCCGGTGGGGACCATGTGACATGGCAGATGGAGTTCTGGCTCCGCACGCTTCACCCTCTGCTCCCGCCTCACTCTACTCGGCTGTGATCATCACACCTGCCTCCCAGGGTGGCCATGAAGATAAAAAGAGGTGGTAGAGGGGACGCTACCCACGGGCAGCCCTGGCAGGTGGGAGGTGTTCCAAAAACAGGGGTTTTCTCCTCCTTCCTTCTCTGATATTAAATCCAGGGTTGCAACCTGATAGCTATGTGAGCCAAATTTGGCCTACGTTTGTGTTTAAGTCAAGTTGTTTTTAGAACAATTTGAACCGGTTGCCAGGATTTAGTAAGCCAGGCAGCTTCACCTAAAGATAGGGACTTCGGACACCTCTTGAAAAGTCACCTGTGGCTCCGGGGTGTGGCCTCCTGCGGGGCTGAGTCCGCCTTCTCTGGTGGGGCATGTGCTCTGCTAGCTGAGTCCCCGCCCGGCCGCCCGTGCTCCTGCCGGCCGGCGGCGTTTGAGCGGGTCCCGACTTAATGCCAGGCGTTCCTGGGCCGGAGGTCCGTCCCCTGCTCCCGGCCAGCCCTGACTCCTATGCCCCCAGCTCCGGAGGTGGTGAAGAACGAGCGGTACATGTTCAGCCCCGACTGGTGGGCGCTCGGCTGCCTCCTGTATGAGATGATTGCCGGCCAGTCGCCCTTCCAGCAGAGGAAGAAGAAGATCAAGCGGGAGGAGGTGGAGCGGCTGGTGAAGGAGGTGCCCGAGGAGTACTCCGAGCGCTTCTCGCCTCAGGCCCGCTCGCTCTGCTCCCAGGTAGGCGCCGGGGGAAGGCCCGCACGGCCGGGGTGAGGGCGGGCATACCGCTTCCTCCACCCACCGCCGCTGCCCGCCACAGCTTCTCTGCAAGGACCCTGCCGAGCGCCTGGGGTGCCGTGGGGGCAGCGCCCGCGAGGTGAAGGAGCACCCCCTCTTCAGGAAGCTGAACTTCAAGCGGCTGGGAGCCGGCATGCTGGAGCCGCCCTTCAAGCCTGATGTGAGTGCCCAGTCCTGCCACAGGCAGAGCCAACTGGGGCCAGGCGCTCGGAGTATCGGCCAGGACGCTGTCCGTGCAGGGGCAGGAAACCCAGTCTAGCGGCTTAGCCAAAAAGGAATCGTTCATGGGGCTCACTAAAGCGGAAGGCGCAGGACGGGCCTGGCTTTCGGCATACCTTGATAGGGGCCCCAACGGTTAGGAATTCTCTCTCCTCCCCTCCCCACTGCACTCTCCCGTGGGTGGTCTTCACTTCTGGACAGCTCTCCCCAGGGCATCGCAGCGGTGGCCCCCAGCAGCCCAGGTCCACATCCTACAGCTTGGCTATCCCTGAGCGCCTCTGGCTCAAGAATTCAAGAGAAATCCTAAAAGGGGAAAAAGTCCTGAGACTGATGCTCACTGCTGTTGCTCAGAGGCCCTGACTGGCCGTGCCGGGATCAGATGCCCACCGGAGCCTCTGCCAGAGGCAGAGATCTGTCCCCAGAGGAAAGCCACAGTGTGCTGCCAGAGGAGGAGGGCTGCTGAGCTGACTCTGGACGGGACACTCGCCCATGTAGCGGCTCGCGCATTTACTGAGCATCTCAGCGGGCCAGGCACCCGGCAGGCCAGAATGCCCTCTAGTCATCAGATTCCAAGTGGCAGAGACCCAACTCAAACTCACCGAAGCCCAACATGGAGTTTATTGGTTCATTTGGCCAGAAAGTCCCAGTGTAGGGCCAACATCAGGGTTTCCTGCTGTGTTGCCAGGACTGGCCAGCTCTGGGCTCTGCTTCCTCTGATGACCGTTTCCCTCCCACTGAATTCAGGCTTCTCTGGGTGTAAAGTTGCAGGGAAGGTTCTGATTGGCCAAGACAAGACATGTGCTTGCCTCCTCCCATGTCTGTGAGGACTGAGTCCTGTGATTGACAGTTTGCCAGGAATTGCCCAAGGTGATGGGCAGGCCAGATTGATGACTGTCAACCACGCACGTGTTTGTGTATTCGTTCAACAAATAGCTGAGTGCCCATTTGTGGCAGCCCCCGGAGATGATGGGGTCCACCAGACCTGGTCCTGCCCTATGTCTTGTGAAAGACACGCCCAAATAAACCAGCAGACCCGGAAGAACTTCAGGCAAGGTTAATTGTGACAAGGAAAATGAAAGCAGGCTAAGAAGGAGACAGAGGATGGTGGGGGGGGTAGTCTTTAGACAAGGTGGTCTCAGGCGAGCTGATGGTTAGGCAGGAATGTAAAATATGTGAAAGAGAGCCATGCCAAGATTCAGGGTATGCACATTCCAGGCAGAGGGAACAGTCAGGCATTGCTGTGCTGAGCAGGGACCAGCCCCTGGGACGGAGGATGCAAGGAGGTCGCATGGCTGGACCCTTTGTGTGCAGGCAGGGAAGCGCATAGTCATGTTCTAAGCGAGACAGAGGACCCTTGGGGGATTCGGGGCAGGAACGCGAGGTGTGGGGAGTGGGCCACAGAGGGTGTGAGTGGAACTGGGGGGGGCAGCTAGGGCTGCTGCCTCTGAATGACCACCTCATGTGGCCTTGCTGGAACCCAAGGGTGGGTGCCACCATAGGCACTTGAACCCAGTGACCCTGGCTTCCAGCAGTCTGCCCCAGGCTGGCCCTGTGCTCGAGTTTATTCCTGTTGCCTGTACACACTGTCTCATTTAACCTTGAAACCATCACATGCCTCTGGATCTTCTGTTCAAATTTAGAGATGAAATCAATGCCTGGAGTTGAACTTTTTAGAAGAAAATGAGAAGCAAGCTTGAGGATGACTTTTTTTTTTTTTTTTGAGTTGGAGTCTCACTCCGTCGTCCAGACTGGAGTCCAGTGGCCGCTCCCAGCCACCGCAGCCTCGACCCGCTGGGCTCTGGCGACCCTTCCGCCTCAGCCTTCTGAGTAGCTGGAATTACAGGCACGTGCTACCATGCCCGGCTGGTTTTTGATTTATTGTAGAAATGAGGTCTCGCCAAGTTGCCCAGGTGGGTCTCGAACCCGCGGGCTCAGGCAGTCCACTCACCTCAGCCTTCCAAAGGCGTGGGATTACAGGCTGAGCCACCGAGCCTGGCTGACTTTTTTTTTTTTTTTTTGAGTTGGAGTCTCAGCCTGTCCCCAGGCTGGAGTACAGTGGCACAAGCACGGCTCACCACAGCCTCAATTTCCTGGGCTTAGGCAATCCTCCCACTTCAGCCTCCTGAGTAGCTGGGACTACAGGCATGCATCACCACACCCGGCTAATTTTTTTAATTTTTTTGTTGAGATGAGGTTTCACTATGTTGCCCAGGCTGATCTCGAATTCCTGGGCTCAAACAATCCTCCCATCTTGGTTTCCCAAAGTGCTGGGATTACAGGCATGAGCCTCTGTACCCAGCTGATTACATGTTTTTTTAACAGCTTTATTGAGTTTTAATTCACATACTATATAATTCACCCATTTAAAGTGTACGATGTTCGTGACCCCCCTGGGCAACTTGGCGAGACCTCATCTCTACAATAAATCAGAATAAGCCGAGCGTGGTAACGCGTGCCTGTAGTTCCAGCTACTTGGAAGGCTGAGGCGGAAGGATCGCCGGAGCCCAGCAGGTCGAGGCTGTAGTGGCCGGG